AGAAATGACTTGAGGTTTTTTTCTCATTTTATGCTAGAAATGTTTAACCTTAATATACTGAATATACAATAAAATTTCTTCTTCATTTTTATGGCATAACTGTTAATAGCATCCATTAATTATAATTACCTTGAAAAAGTAGTAGCCTAAGCAATCTTTGTCACCACCAAGACCAGGTACCACAAATGGGTTTATGCTTTCTAGTGCCATGCACTATTACAAAAATTTGCAACTCCCTGGTTCAAGAAGCTATGTTACACGTAGGCTGACCACTAAATACAAAAAAAAATATATTGTGAAGCTCAGAAACCAAATACATAACTCACTGTTCTTTATGCAGAGACTGAAGAAAAGATAGCAGAGAGGGAAGAGATATGTTACATATATACATATATACGTGTGTGAGTATATATCTACACACACATACATAAATATGACAAGAGTTTTATATATATATATATACACACACATTCATATATAAAACAGTCGTTATCTTTAAAATAAAACTGCTCAAAGAGCAAACCCTTACAAATATCAAGGTTTGGAGGAATGCAATTCCTAGAGGACACGTGAGGCTTCTCATCTTTCTATTTACTGAAAACATCTCAGTGGAATAAAACCCAGTACCATTTTTCATCTCTGAATATTGTAATCTTTGGACAAAAGCAGAATCTCCAATCTTGGAAAACCTCTGGATGGATTATCCACTGGCATAATTCAGACTCTGAAAAGCGATGGCCATGTGAATCTTTTCCTCTTAAAATAATTAATCTGCCATGTCGAAGAACTCTCATAACGTCGAATGCCCTCACCTGCAACAACACTCCTCTAGCTGCTATGAAATTCTCTGTCTGTGGGACAGTAAAATTTACCAGCTCACAGAGCCACAGGCTTTATTTTCACAGTAGCTGTATTTCACATACACACATCACCCATCTCAGTTCTCACTTCTGCATCTTACCCATTGTGCACCGCTGCTCTTGGGTCATTGCTGCTCTTCACTTTGATCATCAGTAACGAGAAGAGAAGGAAGAACATGGCCATACCAAAGCACACACGGTACACGGCTTTGTAACCCACCAGGATATCGCAATTCATGTGGCCATGCACACCAGGAATAGTTGTTCCCATCCCTCCATCACAAAATCCAGGAATCTGTGATAAATACAAGATAACTCAATGATCTGTAAAAAATACTCTACTGATCTGGTGTTCTGTGAGTAAATACGCATTAGCAATTTATTAATACACAATTCATTAATACTGTAACATTACACAACTATTGACATTGCTAGAAAATAAGATACTGAAGGGCTGTATTGCTAGTTACAGACTAACCAGAACATACATATTAAACACATTCAAGGAAAAAAATCCCACATAGGCAAACTGTAAACAAAAATAAAAATAAATCTTATTAACAGTGGTGGATGGGGTTGGGTTTTTCTTGTTATTGGCAATTTCAGAACTTCTCAAAAGAAACACAATTTTCACTTACTGATCTGAATCAGGAGATAAATAAAAGATGTGGGATTTCATAAATTTGACTTGACTATTAAGTTCATGACTTAGCTAGGAGAAAGCAGCTTGCCTGTATCTCTTTAAACCAGAAATAGCCTCTCCCAAAAAAGTAACATCCCAGCTAAGTACCTGTAACTTCCATATGAGACAGCTGAGAATATCCTTCCCAGTCACTACCAGGACATGAGCAACACCTTTCAAATTCAAATGATACTCCAGAAGGCTGTAATTTTCTTTCCTAGGTGACTAACACAGCTCTCACTGAAGCTCTCATGTGGTCACCATATCACACTGAAACAAACATTAATCATTTGGAGGAAAGAAAATCTGTGACATGTGCTCTACCAAGCATATAAGCAAAGAGGAAACCTGACCTTCTTCAGCTGCTCTTCCATGCCTGGTATTAACATCACGCAGGCAATGCTAACACCAAGAAGTAAAAAGAATGCATAAATCAGCCGAGTTATGGTGGAGTTGTTTCCACTGGGGCAGCATCGGCAGAGCAGGCACGGGGCACTTCCACATAAGCATGGTATCTGAACAGAGAGAGGAATATAAAACAAATTATTTAAGAAGTTTGGCATTAGTAGTTTTAATATTTAATCAGGCTGTGTAGATCATCTGAAGTTTGGATGGCAAATGACTTATTCTGTGCATCTCATCAGCTGTGTAGGCCAAGTTGCTGCAACACGTTACAGAGCCCCCTCATAAACTTGATGGCACTTCCTAACACAGCACTGTATAGTGAGATTAGTGCTATGTCAAAAGTAATCATTTATCCATTCAGAGGAAATAAAAACTGGATTCAGGCTCCTTTGTTCTCTTGAATTTTAATTCATTTCAGCTAAACAAGATGCAAGGATGGCCTTTAGTCAACAAGTACATCCTCCCTTCCACAGCTGCAGAGATTAAACAAATACACCACAGGAAAAAAAACTGAGCACAACTGCCATCTAGGTATGCTTTCAGCATCTGGCACAGCTGGGCCACAATCCTCACCAGGGCCATAACCATTACCGGAGCACAAACAATAGGTAAGATAGCCTAAAGCTTAGGTTGCAAACAACTGTATATTTAGCAGCTACACACATATCACATACTTCTGTTAGCTGGCAAAATTAACTTATGCAATGTAAAAGTTACAAACTGCAAGAACAAAGCAAATGCACAGCACAGGTATTATCATTGCTACCATGTATCAACACCAAAAGGGGAGAGGAATGCTGTACAGTTGTAATACCACGAGGGGAAAAACCAGGACAAAATGTACCTGTATTTCATTTTTTAAACAGAAAATTACAGGAAGAAGGAAAGTGAGCAGAGAGTGCTATTTGAGCAGCGGTGGGAAGAGGGTAATGCAGTTCACCCCTTTGCAATTTTCTCCCCCTCTCCGAGTGACAATTCAGGAAGTGAAAGGGCAAGGCTCCACAAGTAACAAGAAGCCAAATGAGGAAAGATTTTGTTTGGTACTTTTGTTTGTTTGGAATTTTGATTGTTTTTTTTTAATTTACAAATAAATTATTTTGCCTAGAAGAGATGGGGAAATCCCAGAGAGCAGTAACAACTAAATTCTGGAGGCCCCATATTTTTCAGCTAAGGTAGTTACCAAGTGAGCACTGCCCAGTCTGAGTTACAAGAGACGATGCAGCCTTTGACAAAGACACCAAATGGGGGCAAAACCCAGAGGTGAAACCCAACATCTCCTCCAGCACGCAAGCAGGGACACCTCTGCCATGTGTCAAAAGCCAGAAGCGTTAATCACCACGTCAAAGACACCCAGTCAGCCAGCCACACAGGAACGTGAGTTACATGGCCACATGACCGGTGCATGTCAAACACCCAGAATGACTGACGTGTCAGAAACTGAGTTCTTAGAAGTTCCGTCATATGACAAACAAAAATGCCAGCAGCCTGCTGCCAGACTGTTTTTTTGAGACTGTTCTTTTTAAAAAAATAAGTTTTTTTACAGTGGAGTGCTCACCACTGGAGGTTTTAAAGATGCAACTGGACAGGGTGCTGGATCATCTTGTCTGGGCTCCCCTCCCCATGAAAGGCTGGACCAGACAGTCCTTCGAGGCTCTTCTATGGCTGCAAGCAACTACATTAAGGGCATCTATGCTTAGTAAGCAGGAAATGCATGGCAAATATTGGCTCAGGATGCATCAGGTTTTTGTAGTACTAACGTATTACACTACTTCCTCCACATACACAAAGAACCTTCCCAGTGAAGAATATTTCCATTTTATGTTCAAAAAATTATGTTCTTGAACTAATTCTGTCTGCATTAACATTGTTTAACATACTGTTGAATAAAAGCTTGAATTTGGCAGAGTAGAATTTAAGTCTAGGCTCATTTGCTGCAGAAAATTTGATGTAAGGAGTGTCTGGCGTAAAAGTCACTTCTCTGGAGAATTCCAGTGCTAAATTGTTAAATACCTAAGTAATTCAAGTACCTTCTTCTTGAGTGCATCAAGGGAAACATGCATGTTTCTAGAGACAGGAGAGGCTGAAATAAAGATGAGTGTCTTCCCCTCACTGAGAAACAATGTGCCTCAAACAAGGCTTTTAAAACATTTTGCCCCCAAAGAGCTCATCCCTACAAGCTCTGATCATTCACATTTCTGAACAAGAGACACCTACTGATAATTGATACGAGTTGGACACTTCTACAAGGAATTCCATTATTGTTCAAGTCCTTCTGTCTTTTAGAGCAAGACAGAATAAAATATATACCGTTGCAATAAAAGAATATTATCATACTACTGGCAAAAACACTTCTAACAAGCAAGAGACTTCAAAAAGAACTGAGCACAAAGAACATTCAGCCCATGGAATTGAGTTTATCAGCAGAGGAACCAAGGACAGTTTGTCACGTACTTTCTTCCCAAATTCAGAGCACAGCTCCTACAAAAAACACTACAGTACAAACAGTAAGATACTACTACACAGATCAAAGCTTAATATTAACTCCCCAAGTGAAGCCCAGCTTCAGACAAGCCCAGTTTGTCTGCACAGATGCAGACAAAGAGTTATTCTGCAATTAGTTTTGAGCTTGATTTCTTAAGGAAACTCAGACAACAGCTCGTAAATCACAACTGCATAAACCTATTGCCATCCAGTGACTTCTGGATCTACAAACCAACTCTCATCCCTGCACGTTTTTGAGAAAAATAAGCAGCTCAGTGTTGTTCACTGAGGCAAAACAAGAGATGACCCACACACCTATTCTGGGAGCAGCCAGCTGGACAGACACATTAATTCGTGCCTGCTAAACTACTCACTTCATTCTCTAGAGCAGTGGAAATTGCAAGAGGAACACATAACAAGATTAATATTACAGGAGAGAGGAAAACCCCACAGAACCACTGAAAGTCAAGTGTTGCTGCCCTTGATGCACACAGAACAATTTTTTAATATCAAACGTAATCCTTCTTACTGGGATAATGACTAAATGATTATATACTGAATTAAGTATTTGAAAAACACTAAGCCTCCTGCTGGGCCTTAGTCAGGTTTTAGTTGCATCATCTCTACTCATATGCGGAAAGGAACTGATTCAATCAAGATCTTTGCCTTGACAGAGAATATTCAAGTGATCAAAACAGCAGCTATTTCAGAGAACAATGCAATAGAAGGAAGCCCCAGCAGCGTAATGACAGCACTGCCTGACCGATCTAGGTCATCGGAATCAGAAAACTTCTAGTGAGATGACAATGCTCTTAAGGCCCCCATCCCCGACACGCTCATCTTTGCTCTTAAAAATCCTAAACTGAAACACTGGCTGATCAGCACACAGTAGAGCAGAGCTATAGCCAGCAGCAACACCACACACAAAGCCCAGAAGAAATAAAGGTATGGGGCCAGATGCCAGGGTCAGTTACCCAGAGCAGCTCTGTATGGCACAACACAGAGCCTAGCAGAGAAGTTACACAGCTGAAGCTATGCCAAGCAGCAGCACCTTCCCAGAGAGGGGCAGTTTTCCTGGCTATGGCACAGTCTGCACTGGCACAAACTCCGCTACATCTGGTTCCTCTGCTACTTCACCCTCGCAGTTTGTTTCCCTTTCAGAGTCACAAACGGCATTTATCCAACATATCCTTAGAGATCAGTGCAGACAGACTTCTCCTGTAAGAACTACTGTAGGTTCTGATTAGCTGTGTTTTCAAACACAGAAAGAAAATCATCATGAAAAATCAAAACAAAACCCAAAATTTATTTCTTTGGGCATTTTAAAGGAAGAGATGGGGGTTAGTTACCCACAGTAAATCTGACTTAATCAAGATTACATGCTCATGTGAATCATCTTCTCCAGAAGACCATCAGCTGAATTTCTCTGCACAAAAACACACTCAAAACCAAGAGCAAGCATACAGGGATTCTTCATGTACTACAAACACCAGCCAGTTATCAGAAAGGCTGTTTATGTGCTTCAAAATCCAGTACATGCTAACTCAAGTATTTGAATTAAAACCTACAGTTACACTGTCACTTAGTATTTAACAATAATTAAAAATGCTAACATTAACTATAATCAGCTAGTAGTTAAAGCCTAACTGGCTAATCCATTAAGTAGTGTTTAAAATGTTAATTAAAGTAAAATGAACACTGATAGTACTTCATTAACAGGATATTATCAGTGGTCTAGGCTCTTCTTTACACACATATCAGCCTGGAAGCTTAGCTTATACAAATTCTAGGATCATTCAATGGAATTTGTACAGGAGACTAAGGAGTTAAGTATCATTCCTCTAATTAAATATCACTCTGTACTAGGGGAACCAAAGTCCATACATTTTGGTAGCACAAAAAATAGGAGCTTGAATCAATATGAGGTTTTGTTAGACCACTAAGTTGTGCACATGAACTGTTTAAATATACATTATTTCATTTAATCCAAGCGTGGCACAATATTTTTGATATGGAAAAACTCAGGTTTTTACAATCCTACTGGAATTTTTAAGCCAAATGTCCAAAGATCCACAATCCACCTGATTCTGTCCATTTGCACACAGACTAGCCTTGGAAAGATATCATCACTTAAGGTAATGCATCAACTGAGAAGAGGGCTGCCATGCAGGATCTCTACTGACTTCTGTTTTTCTGCATAGTGCCAACAGTTTTAAAACCATCTCAAGCTCCTGTTTCCCGTTAAGAAGGATCACCTGACAATGCTCAGCACGGTGGTGTCACAGCACCACAGACTACTGCACTGTGAGAAATCGATGGCTCGATAAGGCAAAGATGCTACAAAGGGTGGAGCTGCTCAAGACAAAGCCGTAAGAAAGAGGAATTAAATACAATCACTAGGATCAGGGAAACACGCGAGTTTTACTTTTCGCGAAAGATACACTGAACTCCATGAGCGTTTAATTCGATTTGTGACACCTTTACAGATTTGGGGAGGGGGAATTTCAGCGGACACAGTAACACCTCCTACATATGAACGCGGATTAACCAGCAACCAGCAGCGCGACGGGCCAGCCGGTCTGAATAAACACGAAGCTCCCCATTGCACCGGCGACACGACGACT